TTACACCTTTTTCAAATCTAGCCTAACCCCTACATTAACGTCCTCGCTCACTGTGTTTCCGAAAATTTTATCCAGGTCTCTCCTTGCCACTGCCAAAATTCTATTAGGTATACCTTGTCATCTAAATTTGCACAAATTTGGAAACCATAATTAAAAGAAGGAAAAGTATTCAAAGGCCAAGCTTTTATTTTTTTATCAAAATACTAGTACAATACAGAGAAATACAAAGATAAAATAAAATATGAAAACAAAACAAGTACCTATTCAACTTCTAATATTGGGACGTATAAAACAAAATTTGGCAATTCACCATTCGCTTAGATTTAGATGACAAGGTATACCTAATAGAATTTTGGCAGTGGCAAGGAGAGAGCTGGATAAAATTTTCGGAAACACAGTGAGCGAGGACGTTAATGTGGGGGATAGGCTAGATTTGAAAAAGGTGTAAAATTTGAAATGAGGTGTGCAAAATTGTGCAAAATTAGAGGATCAGGTAGCATAAAAACAAAGCGGATTTTGTCAGTGGGGCGGCTGGTAAGTAAAGCACAAATGTTGCATGCAATACCTAAGGTGTATGTATGACGTCTCCCCCCTTGAATGTTGTTTATGAGTTTCGAGCATTAGTGAAAATTGACCAACCATATTCTAAAATGTATTATGTATCTTGCCATTTGCAGACCCATTTTAGAATATGGTTGGTCAATTTTCACTTATGCTCGAAACTCATAAACAACATTCAAGGGGGGAGACGTCAGCTTTAGGATCCTTACCAGAATACGCAACAACCCTTTTCATAACCCATGAAACTTAATGTTGTAGTTTTTATTTAATGATTTTTTTATTCTCTGCTGTGTAGTCAATAATATGTCTTAATTGTTCGTTCGACGTTCTTTGTTGTCCATAATTGCGCACAAATGAATGAATGAAGTTTTGAATTTTATATATCGCAACGTTGCCAAAGCTTAAATCGAGTCGTTTTCAAGATGAAGAATACATAAAAATAATTGCATATTTACCATGGACCCGGACCCAAATGAAATAACGGTTTTTGTCCGGTTACGGTTCCGAGAGAAACGACAAATTTCGGTTCGGACCAATCTTTTCGGTCCATACGGTTTTTTTCGGTTCCAATTTAAATTATAAAATGTCAATTTTTTGTAAATTTTTTTTTGGCATGTTACTTTGTTTCTATTTTTTCAAATCAGGTTCTTAAATTTTAGGCTCTTTATCCTCTTTTTCTTTACTATTATTCTTGATCAGGCTACCTTTTTCTTTTTCTTCTGATCTTGTGATTGAAAATCTGGAAAATTCATATTTGAAATAAGTTATTCAAAAATAAAATAAAATAAAATGAAATGAAATGAAATGAAATGAAATGAAATGAAATGAAATGAAATGAAATGAAATGAAATGAAATGAAATGAAATGAAATGAAATGAAATGAAATGAAATGAAATGAAATGAAATGAAATGAAATGAAATGAAATGAAATGAAATGAAATGAAATGAAATGAAATGAAATGAAATGAAATGAAATGAAATGAAATGAAATGAAATGAAATGAAATGAAATGAAATGAAATGAAATGAAATGAAATGAAATGAAATGAAATGAAATGAAATGAAATGAAATGAAATGAAATGAAATGAAATGAAATGAAATGAAATGAAATGAAATGAAATGAAATGAAATGAAATGAAATGAAATGAAATGAAATGAAATGAAATGAAATGAAATGAAATGAAATGAAATGAAATGAAATGAAATGAAATGAAATGAAATGAAATGAAATGAAATGAAATGAAATGAAATGAAATGAAATGAAATGAAATGAAATGAAATGAAATGAAATGAAATGAAATGAAATGAAATGAAATGAAATGAAATGAAATGAAATGAAATGAAATGAAATGAAATGAAATGAAATGAAATGAAATGAAATGAAATGAAATGAAATGAAATGAAATGAAATGAAATGAAATGAAATGAAATGAAATGAAATGAAATGAAATGAAATGAAATGAAATGAAATGAAATGAAATGAAATGAAATGAAATGAAATGAAATGAAATGAAATGAAATGAAATGAAATGAAATGAAATGAAATGAAATGAAATGAAATGAAATGAAATGAAATGAAATGAAATGAAATGAAATGAAATGAAATGAAATGAAATGAAATGAAATGAAATGAAATGAAATGAAATGAAATGAAATGAAATGAAATGAAATGAAATGAAATGAAATGAAATGAAATTAAATTAAATTAAATTAAATTAAATTAAATTAAATTAAATTAAATTAAATTAAATTAAATTAAATTAAATTAAATTAAATTAAATTAAATTAAATTAAATTAAATTAAATTAAATTAAATTAAATTAAATTAAATTAAATTAAATTAAATTAAATTAAATTAAATTAAATTAAATTAAATTAAATTAAATTAAATTAAATTAAATTAAATTAAATTAAATTAAATTAAATTAAATTAAATTAAATTAAATTAAATTAAATTAAATTAAATTAAATTAAATTAAATTAAATTAAATTAAATTAAATTAAATTAAATTAAATTAAATTAAATTAAATTAAATTAAATTAAATTAAATTAAATTAAATTAAATTAAATTAAATTAAATTAAATTTAATTTAAATTAAATTAAAATAAATTAAATTAAATTAAATTTAATTTAAATTAAATTAAAATAAATTAAATTAAATTAAATTAAATTAAATTTAATTTAAATTAAATTAAATTAAATTAAATTAAATTAAATTAAATTAAATTAAATTAAATTAAATTAAATTAAATTAAATTAAATTAAATTAAATTAAATTAAATTAAATTAAATTAAATTAAATTAAATTAAATTAAATTAAATTAAATTAAATTAAATTAAATTAAATTAAATTAAATTAAATTAAATTAAATTAAATTAAATTAAATTAAATTAAATTAAATTAAATTAAATTAAATTAAATTAAATTAAATTAAATTTAATTTAAATTAAATTAAAATAAATTAAATTAAATTAAATTAAATTTAATTTAAATTAAATTAAAATAAATTAAATTAAATTAAATTAAATTAAATTAAATTAAATTAAATTAAATTAAATTAAATTAAATTAAATTAAATTAAATTAAATTAAATTAAATTAAATAAATAAAATAAAATAAAATAAAATAAAATAAAATAAAATAAAATATAAATAAAATAAAATAAAATAAAATAAAATAAATAAAATAAAATAAAATAAAATAAAATAAAATAAAATAAAATAAAATAAAATAAAATAAAATAAAATAAAATAAAATAAAATAAAATAAAATAAAATAAAATAAAATTCTTTTATGTTTGATCTTGTTGGGGGAAGTAAAAATTTGAGACCAAAAAAACAACCTTTCAACGCTTACTTAAGTGGGTTTCATATAGATGCGAAATGCGAATTGCGAAATACGAATATTCGCATTTCGAAACTGCTATTTCATATAAACGCGACCAAAAAGTTTCGTTCTTTTTCAAAACGACATAACTTTTTTGTTTCTTAAACGACTTAATTTTGGTTTTGTAATGTCTGCTTAATATCTATAGCATGAATTGCCAGAGGATGGGGTTAGCAGACATCACAGGCGAAACTAAAAAGTTATGTCGTTTTGAAAAAGGACGAACTTTTTTGGTCGCGACACATTGAGTGGTGCGCAGTTTAGATGCGAACTATTTTAGGGACATTGCTTTTTCACTAGGCGATATTTGCAATGCTTTTTTTAGGTACAGTAGTAAACTTAGGTTGCTAAAATTCGTTGTTAATTAAAGTCGTTGATTTAAGGACTTTCTTAGCAACTAAGTTAATGAATCGGCCTGATTATCATATATATTAATATAGCATATGCTATATTAATAGCAAATTAGAAATAATTATTTTAAATGACTTGCCTTTTATTTTATAAATAGAAACCTTTTAAAAGATGTTGAAGAACGGTAAATGTCTAAAATCAGGCCAAATTTTAAAATTTGTATTAGGTATATATATTTATTATTAAATTATAAAAAATTGGTTAATGCAAATAAAATGAAACCCTACAAAATTTTTTTTTGTTGTTTAAAATAAACTTTGGGCATGACACCCAGAATTTTTTTATTCCAGCAGCTTTTTTCGTCCCTGCTTAAAATACCCCATAGAGACCCAGTTCAAACCGATAGATATTTGTATCGGAATGTATGGTGTTTCTATAGGGTGTATCGGTATACATACCATAAATCCAAAGTATGGGTTCTATACATGTATAGAACCCTTACTTTGGATGTATGGTTGTTCTATAGAACACCCTATATAGGGATATCTTTGATTTATTTGCTATTGGTTTCAATGCGAAAAATACACATTAATGTAGAAATTAGTTTTTTCCTCTCATAGAAACCCATAGGTTTTAATAAAATTTTGTCAAATGTTTTATGATTCTTCTATGGGGATATTCCTATATATATAGGGATATAAAGGATATATCCTTTATTGAGTTATTTGCTATCAGTCTCAATGTAAAAGTTATGGTGTGCCTATAGGGTAATTTCCTATAAATTTTATATCGGGGCCGTATCCGGAAAAATAACATGGACAAATGCACATATTGAATCCGGTAGCGCCCGATATATTATTTTATAAAGGTCTTATGGGGTATTTTAAGCACACATATCAGAGTGCGTCTACCAGATTTTTGATACGGGGCCCCCTCGAGGCTAGCTATGCCACTATATATACAATTGTATTGTTCATCTTCTACGGGAGGAAGGAAGGAAGGAAGTCATCCCATAAATCAGGGCTAAAGTGACCTGGCATAATGCCAGTGGCATCTTTTTTCGGGAAGGGCGGACCCTGCTAAAAACTACAATTTCTTCTATGCTGTACGCCCACGGTATGCAACACTCTGTACTAATCAGTAAGATGGGTTGCCTACACATCGAGAAACTAACCTAACTTTTAAGTGTAAACAAATGTTTTAAAAAGTTATCGTTTTCCTTGTAAAAAAATAAAACATTTATTGGGTGAATTTGTGTAAGCAACGAATAAAATGAGTCGTCGCAAAAGAATGAAGGTAATAATTGATTATATTTAAAAACAGCTAAAATTAATAAAAATAATAATAATAACTCTGAACAATTTAATTCTAAAGTTTGCACTCTTGTAGGCGGATCTGGAGGAAAAAATAAAACAGGATGATCTTAAACCCGATATTACAGACAAAATAAAACCAGTTATTATGGATAAAAAGCCTTCAGTATCTGGGTCTTCAAAAAATTCCAAAAAAGAATTTAAAAAGGAAAAAGATCTTAAAAAGGAGGAAATAAAAAAAGATAAGGAAGAAGACAAAAAGAAAGATGTAGACAATGAATCAGAATTAGATGATCCCATTATAAAGGAATTATTTACTGGTTTAGAAGGGGCAGCTTTTCAAAGTCGTATGCCCTTTGACAAGCTAACTTCTACAGAAGCTGCATGTTTCCCAGACATAGCTCAGCTGCATTACAAACAGTGAAAGTTTATCTAAATATTCGTAACCGTATATTACAAATGTGGCTAGACGACCCCAAAACAACAACTAATAGTAGAACATATAATTGAAAAAATGGAGGTTCCATACAATAGTGACTTGCCCTTGTTACACAGAATCCATACTTTTCTTGAAAGGAACGGGTTTATAAATTTTGGTATTTTTAAGAGATTAAAACCTATACCAACTAAAAAACATGGAAAAGTAATTGTTATTGGAGCTGGAATTGCTGGCTTAGCTGCCGCTCAGCAAATGCAACAATTTGGCCTGGATGTCATAGTTTTAGAATCTCGTGATCGAGTTGGAGGAAGAATTGCTACATTTAGAAAAGGTAATTTTTAATTTATTTAAATTCAGCTTTAGATAAAAATACTGGTTTTTTTGTGATATACATATATTTACATGTATTTAGTAACTGTTAGGAGCATATTTTGATTAAGGAAATAGGATAGAAACTTCTGGAAATCCAGAAAAAGCTGCCTTGGCTTTCCATTTTCCTTATTTAAATAATAGTACACATTACAAAACTATACATACTTAATGCATTTTAGATTTAAAATTATAAATGTTTTATGCATTTTAATAAATAACTATTAATATAAATATAAAGTTTTTATGATGAAGTTGGTTATATTTTGGTTAATTTTCGGAATTTTAGATAAAAGTTTTTTGAAAATAATGCGTTTCAGAAACTATTTAATAGTTTTTAGTAAAAAGATCTTATTAATTTACCATTAAAGGAACAATTTTTACTTGTTGGGAATTTTTAAAATACAAGGCTATTAAAACCTAATTATTGTTTTTTGATAATGAATAAATTAAAATTCTGCCCCATTCTGGTTTTAAACGTTTTATAAAATATCTAAAAGCAAAAAAACTTTTTTTTTGACATACATTTAAATTGTAGGAAAATGCTAATACTTGTTTTATTTCATCATTTAATATTTTACATTGTTTTTCTAACAAATATTCACTTTCGTATTTAACCAACCTAAAAGTTTGCTATGGACAAACTATAAATTGAATTTGCATACTTATGCATTTGCATGTTTTATCAATATTTTCTTTACCAATATTTACTAGTCTTTACCATATTTTACTGATAATCTGCTTATGGATAATATTTTCCGCTACTTTTACAGCGAATGCAGAAAAAAAATCAACAATCCTGTATTAATAAGATATACAATTTAATGCTGGACACCTATTTTGATTTTTGGTATGCTATGCTATGCCCTAGGTTCCACTACAAGTTGTAGGCTACACATGCAATCAGTATTGTTTCGCATTTAAATAAACTGCGCACCACTCAATGTGTCGCGACCAAAAATTTCGTGCTTTTTCAAAACGACATAACTTTTTTGTTTCTTGAACGATTTTATTTTGCCAATTCATGCTATAGATATAAAGCTCACGGTTCTTCAAGTAACTTTCCTACAGGGTGATATGATAAACGGTGGAAAAATTTTAATAACTTCATCCAAGCCCCGTTTGTAAAAAAATAATTTTTTTCTCGTTTTTACTTTGAAATAATGAAGTATTATGTCTTACCCTTGAAACGTTTTTAAAAAATTTCAAATTGAAATCTTAGCAACGAAAATATGATTTTTCGAAAAGAGTACATTTAAGGCTTTTTGTAGGCAATACACTCAGTCTTTTTAGGAACAAGAAGATAAGATGGTGAAAGATTGTTACTTAAATAATTCCTGAACAAGCGACAAGCAACAAACTTCCATTATGTTCAGGGCTTAAGCAAAGATCACTTTTTCAAAATGACATTTTGGTGAAAATTTGCGAAAACTAAACCTAAACCGATATTTCCGTTCGTGACATGTTTTCTTCTTCATTTTTAACTCCTGATTGTGGTTCAGCTTGTCAAAATTAAGTCTAAGATAAAACCAAAATCACCAAGAATCAAAATTCGAAAAGAATTCCCGGTTGTTAAATGCTAGGCTAGGATGAAGTTATTGTAATTTTACATATCACCCCTGTAGGAAATTTACTTGAAGAACCGTGAGCTTAATATCTATAGCATGAATTGCCAGAGGATGGGGCTAGCAGACATCACAGACCAAAATAAAATCATTCAAGAAACAAAAAAGTTATGTCGTTTTGAAAAAGGACGAACTTTTTGGTCGCGACACATTGAGTGGTGCGCAGTTTATATGATACTTAATCCATAATTTAAATAATCTATCTACAAATATTATTACATAATTTATTTCCTGATGAACGCTTTATTATTATTATTTATTAAGTGATACTAATCATTTATATATGTTTATCGGATATTTATATAAATATCATGATATTTGCGAACCTTAGGGTTTGCATATATGTAACACTCGATTTATATTGGATATTTATTAAGGATATATATCGCTTTATATATATATGCGATATATATCCTTAATAAATATCCAATATAAATCGAGTGTTACATATATGCAAACCCTAAGGTTCGCAAATATCATGATATTTATATAAATATAATTATTATTTATTAAGTGATACTAATCATTTATATATGTATATCGGATATTTATATAAATATCATTATATTTTCTAACCCTGAATCTAAGTATATTAACATAAATATTTTATTAAACCATGGCATATGGCATACATTAGCAGAACAAAATTGACATGGTTAGATGGTTGTTTCAGGGTAATTTCTTACTCCAAACACAAGCTATTTTTTCTGCTAGTCATGTAGATGACCGATTCCTGCGTTAACTACTATTTCTGAAACATAAGGTCTTTTTAAATTAAATGGGTTCATTTGGGCCCAAACCAATTAAATCCTGATGCCAAATGCAAGAGATAATGGTTTGTTCAATGGTTGAAAAAGACTCTAAAATTACCATAAAATTTTCAGCGAAAGGATTAAGTGTTGGCAAAGGTCACAAAATTTCGAAAAGCTTAGGCAATTAAGCCATCGAACGCATTATCCCAAAAAACCTAATTTTTGGGATTGTATTTATATTATATCAATATAAAAGGTTCATTTTTTATTACAGAAAATTTAACTGAACAAAAATATTAAGAGCTTCTTTGAAACAAAATTGTGTTAGATTTTGCACGCATACAAATAGTACAGCAATTTTATGTTGTATATACTCCGGTCTATTATTAAATAAAATGTATTTGAGGACATTTTATTCTATATTATTATAAACTTGTTTACTATTTTTTTTTTAATTATTTTAGGAAATTATATAGCAGATTTGGGAGCCATGGTGGTCACGGGCCTTGGTGGAAACCCTGTCACCACCTTAAGCAAACAAATAGACATGGAATTGCACAGGATCCGTCAAAAGTGTCCTCTGTACCAAGCCTGCGGCGTCACAGTGGACAAAGAAAAGGACGAAATGGTCGAGCGAGAGTTTAATAGATTGCTTGAAGCCACATCTTATTTGTCCCATCAACTAGATTTCAATTATGCTGGGAACAAACCAGTAAGCTTGGGACAAGCTTTGGAATGGATTATCAAATTGCAGGAAAAACACGTCAAAGAGAAACAAATCCAGCACCTGAAATCGGTCATTTCGCTACAAGAGCAGTTAAAATTAAATCAAAACAAATTAATCGATATCAGGGAACAAATGCAGGACTATCATACTAAATTAAAAGAACTAGAAATATTGGAAAATCGCGATATTCAAATGGAATTTGCATACCGCAGCAATAAAAGGGATCTCAATACTTTGGCTACAGAGTGGGACGAACTCCAGCAACAAGCTAAGGAAATTGAACAGAAACTAAATGTTTTGGAATCTTCACCCCCAAGGTATACATTAATAATAATAATAATAATAATTTTCATGAAAACATGGCGCGGTTATTTTAAGTATATATTGCTTTAACTTTTTAACAAGGGTTTTCTTTTTTTTTTGACTTACTCAACCACGTTAGCTGCAATGCCCTTGTTTACTTTGTTTTGATATCAATAGTTGGTAGATGTGTGATATTATTGGCTTAGAAATACACAACTTTGACAATTTTTTTTTAACTTAAATGCTTAATAACCCAAAAATTTCTTATATCCTGGTGGTGCGCCATTTTTGTGACACCCAGTATAAGTTTTTATGATTAATACGCTGTATTAAAGTTCTAAAGGCTGTTATGGAAAACCCTGTTGTTTTATTAATATTAAATGCTTCACATAAATATAAAATTTGATAAGAAAAATAATATTGGTTCAAAACACTCAAAAGATGTGATGACCATAAAAATTATATATATTTTATAAAGGATATATCTTCAAAGTCCTTTTTTCAGTATTTTGGGTTACCTAATGGCTAAATTACTGTGCGGGTTGATATTTTTCGTTAAATATCCCCACGGTAGGGCTAATTATCAGAAGTGCCCTTGGAAACCTTTAAAAAAACATTTTGTTTAATTTTTGCTTATTTTGAATTTTTTTTTGGTTTTTCAGTTTATTAGGTCCTTTTTATATATGATGTTAATTTATAATATAGACTCAAATCCAAATTTTTATTTACTTTTAGGACACTTTTTAACATGGAGTACTTACTCCACAATGTATTTGGCTGATATGATTTTCTTAAATCCGCAAAATAGGCCAGAAACACTTCTTCCTTAGAACTTTTTGTCCCTTTGTTGTTGCACCAGTTTTCAAAATGTTTAAATTGTTTGTCATATTTTTGACATGATTTTGCTGGTAATAAATTCTCATTTACAGTATTTTCTGTCTCCAGGATGGCATATGGTAGCTCTTCTTCCAAAATGTTCATTTCAATTTCGCGAAAAATCTATAATATATTATGACGGTTCACTTTGTTTCACGCTTATTGACATGGAAGCTAAGTAACTAACATAGATAATAAACTAAATTTGATTTTTGTCTAAAATCAACATACTTACGCACATTTTAAATGCAAATGCTTGCGGAAAAGTGGAACTTTGCGCACGCAAATGGTTGCGGATAAGTGTTACTTTGCGCACGCTAGTAGAAAAAAATAGGACTCGACCGATGGATCGGCATCGGCGCCGATGGTTGCAATTTTTAGCCATCGGCATCGGCGAAAATATATGCCGATGGTGCCGATCCAACTATTTTAGATAATAAACAAAAACTTACCACTAATTGACTTATACATAAGTTGTTTCTTTTTTAAATTTTATATATATTTTTCAGAATATTATTTTATTTTTCCTTTTTTATGTTAGTAAAAAAATTCTGTTAATGCTTTAAAAAATAAATATTTTTTTAAGATTTTATTTTATTGATGGCTATCGGCATCGGCCCATGGGAAAAATTCAGCCATCGGTCGAGTCCTAGAAAAAAGTTTAAAATCATTGAGAGAAGATTCCTCAAGCACTCCTTTATGGTCAGCAACAAATACAGAACTAACTTTAAAACAAGCCCAAAAACCTGTTAGTCTACCTGGATGATATATTAGACCTATACATATATTCGCATTGACTAACAAGACCAATAGCGTAAAACAAATATTAGAAATATTTAAATAACACCAACGATGTTGGCATCTTCAGAGGCTTATAAGCTAAGGTTGAATGAACCGTAAACGAACACAGTATACTAAACCGTGGACCGTAATCGCTTCAGTGAACACGTAAGGAGAAACTCAAACTAATTTATACAAACTAAAGTTGGGTACAGGTCCGCTATCGCTATTTAAAGATTTATTTTTATTCTTATAGATGTAGGTATAAACTTTCATAACTATCTAACAGACTTGGTTCTCTAACTTCATTAATAAGTTTAAGGTTGTCAAATCCTATTCTATGACCATTATCAAGTATGTTGGGCAACACTAGATTTCTCTGTTCTACTAAATCTATCATGGGCCAAGTGCTCTTTGAACCTAACTTGGATAAATCGTTTAGTTTGTCCAAAATATTTCTTGTCACAATATTATCTTTGGGGTTGCCTTAAAGGGTCTGAAGTGTGTTGCTGCTTGAACTAAAAGCAATTTTGAAGTCCAGTTTTCGAAACATCCATTCCAGAGCATAGATGACCTCGGGTGTACTGGGGTTGGAAAGGAATGCCAACATCGTTGGAAAAAAGTACTAATTTGAAACATTCGCCGCGACAACTATAGGCTGCTTGGGCGCGTGATATACCTACTTAATTTTTTTATTTAATAGGTACACATTTTTATAGCTTTCTCTAAAATCTAAGTTTGGTTAAATTTATAGAAATCAACCCCTTTTGAGCGATTTAGAGCTAATCTAGGAACTATTAGACTTATTTTATTGCTTGGGCGCGGGATTTACTTAATTAATTTTGTTTTTTCTTTAATAAATATGTTCATAGGTTCATCTTAAATATTTATTTAGTCAATATTTTTATTTTTAAGCCATTAAGGTTTATCAAAAAATATTTACCAGTAAATTTGTAATCAGGGCTGGATGCTCCGGCGGACGAGTTTTGGTTCGTGCCGCGCATGACGTCACTTGATGAGTAGTTGCCGTGCGAATACATGAATAATAGTAATATTAGGGCCGTACCATTGTGTTCAAGGCTTGAACACAATGGTACGGCGCGCCGCGGCGTTCGACGGCGTCAAATGTCAAACCAAAGTTGAAACAATGCAAATGCATGATACCGCACACAATGCACGGCGTTGAACGCCGTGTGATGCTGCCAGTTGGCCAACTTTTTACTTTTACGCCGTCAACGCTGGGAACCTAACCTCACTTTCTGTAAAAAGGCGGCAAAGTTCTGTTTTGTTAGCTTTAAGCATGATTTATAGATTGTCTTCCTTCCTTCCTCCCGTAAAAGATAAACAATACGAAAACTGTAGTGCCGTTTATAGATTCCCGTACGGGATTGTATTGTTTATCTTCTACTGGAGGAAGGAAGGCAATCTATAAATTAGGCTTTACTCTGTGATATTTGTTCTGTGCATTTGTTCTTTGGTTTGGATTCGAGATGGATATCAGAAAAGTTTTGAAATCTATTAATACAATAGAAGCACCGGCGATGGAAGATTTTGATGAACACCTTGTTCATTTAATAAAAACGAACGAAATTTTATATAATAAAAGGTGTAATGGTTATAAAAATATAACCCTAAAAACCCTAAATACACAAATTGTAACACAATTAAAAATTCTCAACACCCACAATCAAAACAAATAATCGCGTTTTTGTAAATATATTTTAGGTTAGATTACCCGCATCTGTCAGATTTACTGTCAAATAAATGTCACTTAGCGGCGTTCAACGCCATCATTAGGTGCGTTCTTTTCACTCAGCTCACATCGGTAAAATTTGCAAATGTGCGCGTTTTTTTTTGCTTCACTCACCATAAACATGCTGTGCGGGGGAATCAGTTTGAATTAAGTCGGAAACAAAGTGGAGGGGATAAAGAAATTATTGATTTGTTAAGTTTTTAAATAACATAACCTAATCTTTTTTAAGTGATTTTTTGCAATAAAACTTAAATTTTGTAAATTAGCTATAAGCTTAATATAATAAATAGAATTCGAATAAAATTGTTTCTCAGAAGTAGAAAAATACTTTTTACAATAAAATTAAACAAAACATGTCAAAGTGATTTTTTTTTCTAATTTTGTCATAAAATTAATATTCTTATCAAAAAATTGTTGTTTTTGTTTGTCACCCAATTATGAAAAGAATAAGTACGTCTTTAATATATACTCTAATTTATCTCCTGAAGATGCACAGAGGGTGCAGGAAGGTATTATCCATAAAGGTTGATTTATAGATTGCCTTCCTTCCTTCCTTCCTCCCGTAGAAGTTGAACAATACAAATCACATTGTGCTGTTTAAAGATTCTCGTACGGAAATCTATAAATGGCACTACGAATTTCGTATTGTTCATCTTTTACGGGAGAAAGGAAGGAAGGCTATCTATATATTAGGCTTAATTCAATGCAAATTTAAACATAGAAAAACACGAAATTTAACATAATTATATCAGAGATAGGTTATGTTGCCTCTTATTCGTATTCGCCGTCAGATTACGCGTTTCAATTGAGTGTATCGTTCTTTTTAATGCTTACTCAGATCACAACTGTAGTGACACCTGTAAGGTGCTTTCCTTTCATTTTTGAAGTGAGCCAAGCAAAAGTGAGATAAGCGAGGCCACTTACGCGCACTCATCTTACCTAAAATAGACCAAAGGAACGGTTGGTAACTTACCAACCGTTCCTTTGGTCTATTTTAGGTAAGATGAGTGCGCGTAAGTGGCCTCGCAGTGATGCCAGATCTTTAGCGCTGAATATCCGTATTTGACCTAGTAGTATGGTGGGGATTAAGGAAAAAAATCCGTATAATTCCGTATTTCGTATTTTACACTTATTACGTATTTTTTTTATCAATAATTAGACTAATTTCGGGGAAATTTAATTTCCTTGTTAAGGATTTATTTTTTAGAATAAAAAACGTAGTATAATTTAATTTTTAAGTCTTGAGAAAGAAGGCAATTCTTTTAATTATTTTTTTCTACTTCTATTATATGGAATATAACCGTTCTAATATCTTTTTAATTTGGAATGACATATATTCCTTAGAGTATTACAAAATGAGTTATTCTATCGGATGACGGAATAAACACTGGTGGCGACATCTCTGTTTTTAATATCTAACAAATTTTAGATAAATCAAACTTCACTTTCTGCTAATTAAATTATTTTTTTATGGTACACGTTTGGAATTGCATATTCCGCTCGAGTGAAAAGTTTCACGATTTCACGTATTCCAAACTTGTTACAGAATATACTATTCTCTGTTTACTTTTTTTTTTAAGGTTTATTGGCTTTTAGTCTTTTCGACTATTTAGCCAGCTCATTATTATATATATTTTTATGCTCGAAAAACAAGCACAACACCCAAGGCTGTGACCGGGAATCGAACCTGGTGCCGTACGTGGCGCAGATTGATTACCGCTCTGTAGCTTTCACAGGAAAATGGCACACTACGACTCGTAGTGTGCCATTTTCCTGTGAAAGCTGCCAACTAAAAAAACTGTTTTTCCCCACATCATGTGGTAAAATTCCCCACAGCTTCCTAAAATTCCCCGCACGTACTAAAAAAAAGATAAAATTTTTATATGCTGAAAAAAAATAACTGAAACTGAAACTGAAAATTTTACTTTTACCTCTTCATTAGGAGAAACTTTAGTTAGCCATTTATCCATCATGTAGTTATTTCAAATAACTTATTTGGAACAGAACCTTGTAAATTTGAATATTCAAAGTACACACATGTTTAAATTTAAACATTACAATGACAACATTGACAAATAAAAACAGAATATTAATCTTTGCGTATCACACTCATATAAGTTATGTGATATAACACATTCCAAAGATAATTGATTATTTTGGCAACTACGCTTTTGACAATTATATCATGGGCGCGATGTTAAAAATTCATTAAAACATTCCATAACAAATGTCGCCACATGTGGTTTTAAACTTTTTACAGTGGTGCAGCTTTGCTTAATTAATAATATAAGTTCAGAATTAGAAAAACATAAGCTCTGTAACATTTGAAGCAAAATTTAGTGAAAATTATAAATTCCCCGAAATTCCCCACACTATTAAATTCCCCACACATTACCCGCAACAATGCTAAATTCCCCGCATTTTGGGGAATTCCCCACACATTGGCAGCGCTAACTACGAGAACAAATTTCCCCTTAGAAACGGAAACAAGGTCATCTATACAAAATATAGGCAATAAGCGGTATATGTGTGGAAGTATGTGGTAACTTTAACCCACTGCGCCACATACTATGGGCACTGCGCCATCCTCGGCCCCCTCTGTTTACTTGAAACTAAACTTTAACTGTCAAAAGTGCAGATTCCTGTAGTTTTAATAATATGCATTACAGCAACCTGTCTATTACAGTCTGTAATTTACAGATAACTGTATTTAGTTCATTCTTGTGGATAAGTAAAACCGGAAAAAAAAAAGATTTTTAACCTAAAAATATTTGGGGAAAAATCACCCCAAAGAACGAAAGGCTGCAAAGTACAGAGTTGGCGATAATTTAGGTATAAAATTTGGATTTGTTATAAATCCGTATAAAATCCGTATTGCCCCCAAAATCCGTATATTTTCTCAATACACTCGAAATTCCGTAGAATACGGAAAAATCCGTATATCTGGCATCACTGGTAAGCAGGCACAATTTCAAAACGTTGCGTCGCGATTGCGTTGCGTTTGACGCCGTCGAACGCCGTCCCATTGTGTTTCACGCTTAAGCTTTGGTGTTTTAAATTAAACTTATAGTCACTGTCTAGAAAATGTTTATAGGAAACAGAAGCGGTCTTAACGTTAATATTGTCTATTCTTTTTGTGGCATTTAACCACTGCAGTGCACTGTTTGCACAATTCAAAGTTTTTAGGGAATCGATGAAATTTAATGTGTTTATTTAAAGGGTTTTTCTTGGTCCGAATTGCATCCGAATATGCCACACCGCATTTTAATAAATGCAAATGGCACGACACAAACAAACAAAACAATAACAATAATTTGAACACTAAAAATTAATTCGAACCTTACCGAACGCAAAAACAACAAGTTAAACAAAAAAATAGAGCAAGTTAACATTCAACAGCATCGCAAAAACAAGATTTTTAGCAGCAGATAATTAAAAAGCACGTTAAAGATTCAAAAACACTCATCAAGTGACGTATTTAAGCCCCGCCCAACATGCGCACCATCCTATCTTAAGGTGTATGTATCTTGATTTGTAATACAATAATACACGAAGTTTTTATATTAAAGACATTTTTTTAAGAATTTAATAGAGTTAAATATTGAAATGTTACAAAATACAAAATAGGTAGGTATTAATAATACTGTATTATAAAAAAAAATGTAGCCAAAAGATTTGAACCGTCAACGCCGTAGTCTTCACTGGAGATTCTCCAGTTAGGTACTCAATCCCTCGGCCATCGGAGATTTCTGGTAAAAATATTAATAATAACAATTATTAAAATAACCCAACAAATCAAAACATTCAATAAGTTCATTCTACATGTCCGTTTAATCTCTAAAGCGTCTATTATCAGCACACTAGATGTATCATTAAAGTTTTATATTAATTTAAAAAAAAATATTTTTTTGACAAGCAGAACTTTTTATAAAGAATTTTAATACCTTATTCCTATTATTTTAGCGATGTGTACCTTTCAAGTAAGGACCGTCAAATACTCGACTGGCATTTTGCAAATTTGGAATTCGCAAACGCCACACCTTTATCGAATCTCTCCTTGAAGCACTGGGATCAGGACGACGATTTTGAGTTCACCGGAAATCATTTAACAGGTAAGTTTTTTACCATTTTTAGGATTGGTATTATATGTATAATACAAGTAGAATAAATATATTATCATAGGCAACCCATTAAACATTCCGCAAAGCAATTTCAATTGCGAATCTGCAACTAGTATGTAGGTAAAATTCTCTTTAAATGTAAAAACTTTAAAATGCAATAATAATAAATAAATCAATTTTTATATGGAAACAGTTAAAACACAAGTTAAAAAAATCTTAAATTCGATTAAAACCGTATTTTAGTAGATACATGATGTATAGAGATGTTCATTAAAGCAGTGCCAAAAGCGTCCTTGTCTAAAATTTGTTTTTCATAGGTTTTCTTGTTCTCTAAAACATACAAATAAGTAAATTTGAATTAAGAATTTCTGGGTAAATTCAGTATTTAATTTTAATAATAATTTTAAAATCATAGTTTCCATTAACTATTTCTAATACTTGTAATAATCCCTTAATGGTTTTATTTTATATTAAAAAATATTTCTTTACAATTTAAAAAGCAGATACCTTATTCTGGCAGAATAATATTAATTTAGTCAAATATTAAAAATTAATGCGCACTTACTTTTACTTTGTTAATCACCACTTCTTTAATTACTATGTTAAATTTTATGAATTTAGCAGATTTATTTAATTGCCTAAACGATAAAAAAATTATTACGTATTTTTATGAGCCATAAATTACTTACAATAAATTGAGTGTGTTTCCATTCCATGTTAGTTTCAGATAACTAAATTCCTTCCTGTTTTTATAATTAAAACTTACATAATCATCTATATACAAAATAAAAAAAATATTGTAAATATTATTATATGTTATTATGAAAAAATAAAACCTATACTTTATCGAAGTTAATATACAATGTATACGGATGCTTTTGCATATCATCCGTGCATTTTCTTGTAGTTAACTGGAATCCTTAAACAATATAATTTTTTTTAATATATTAACATTTGATTTTGTAAAAAAATATTACAAAATTTATATCGACAGATATATTTTTATAACCGGGTCCTTTATATACGGAATTATCGTTAAGTAGGTACCATAATTCTTCACCAGGAAAGTAAACTTCCACCTCTTTGAGCTCAGGCGTATCAACGTTACGGACCATAATATCACTACCTGAAATATTACTTTGCTTGTTTTTGTTTAAATTATAAATATTATTTTATCTCCACGCGGTCTATAATTTAAACTTTATTGTTGTAAACATAAAAATATATATATATAAAGAAATACCTTGTTATGGCCTAGGCCGATAAAAAATTTTATGAGGCAAGTAATTAGTTCGATTTTTTCTCGCTAGGGGTATTCTTTTGACAAATTAATCCTTTTCTAAGAAATTAACGTACTAAACTGGTTTAATTTATTTATAATAAGCACTAATTTGTTTGTTTTACTGTTAATGTTTAATATTTTTCATTAAATTATTGTAAAATTAAATATGAATAATAAAACAAAAAGTGAGGTTAGGCAACCAAGAAAACGCACGATTTTTTTTCTACGATTTAAATTATCTTTAAGTTTTTATTTGCTTTAAGTTTTCAATGAAATTAAATGTTAAACACAGCTTAAACCTTCCAAACTACCTATTTTTTTAATAAAAATCGAAACAAATTGAAATTAGATACCTACCTATTTATTAAACAATTAATTGAATTCAATGTAATAGCAAAAATCCATTTCTACTTAAATCATGTAGCTAGGTATTGTCAAACTATTACTGCTTCTAAAAGCAATAATAATTATTGTACATTTAATGTAATCTTTAGCTAATAAATAAATGAGATTTAATTAAATTGACCTATATAAAGTGCTTTGAAGATAAAATGTTGTATGCCATTTGGCCAAGTGCCTTTTTGTGCTTCGCTCAATTGTAGGCCTCCGCTACGCGTCGGCCTTCAAACCTTGAGCTTAGCACAAAAAGCCTTACTTCTTAACCTAATGACATAAATAACTATTAATTTACCCCACTAAAAGTTGTTTGTCAATCCTCAGGGTAATGAAAACGTAATGGTCTTATCAAAGGAGCACTTGTGAATGTATACTCATAAAATATCGTGTACCAATAGGCTATGTGATATTTTATTGCCTTCCGAATTACATTTTGCAGGGTTTTATTAAACAAATAAGATTCTCTACGTAACGTTGCCTTGTCCGCATTTGCTCTATAAAATGGTGAAACGGTAGAATTAGATATAATAATTATTAAATATAATAATTATTAGCGCTGTACTTTGATATGCAACCGCGCGCACCTAGCCTTGACCTCTTGGTTCCACCAAGGTGACATCGGCCATTTCAACACCGTATTTCGACAGATATAGTTGAGCACCAAGACGGCTCCCTTTGATATAATTAGTGATAACTATATAAATTGGCCTGGGCTTAGGTAATGAAAATATTATATTTGTATTTCAGTATTTATAGTTGTAAATGTTTTAGCTGTATCTTATACCATACTAAGCGGTTTTAACGCTGAAAATAAATCCTGTACATCCCGAAGAAGTGTTTTCGTGGCTTAAACGCCTACCCCCAACCCTGAGTCTCGTTACATCTTTGGCACCCACGAGAGAGCAGCCACCAATACACAATTTAGGATGAATAATACTCCAGGACATAACTACCATCTAAGAAGTAGATTACCGGAGGACATACGACCGGGAGAAACGCCTGTTCCAGGCGTAACACCACCATACAGTAGGAGCCGTGGACGGATTAACTGGGCAAGTCCGACACAAGAAAGGCCAGGTAGGAGCAATCCAAACTTTTCTAACCATGCCGCGGCTTCGCACACGTGGCCATTCCCACAGGGGGGTGCGCCAGGCTTCTCCAATGAGCCTATACGTCAAATGGTCCCAGCTCCTGAAGACCTAAGTAGGCTTGTAGCTGAAGTTGTCAGTTCGACAAACTCGCATTTAGGTTCTAATACTAATAGGCATGATAGTTCTAGTTCTAGTAATAGGTTAGGGTATAAAAAGGTGCCACCTGTATTTGATGCTGAAACTATACACCCTGTCGATTTTTTAAACCAACTTCAAGACGGTTTCGAAGTTGAATCTATGCCATTCAGAGAATTTAAGTTTTTTATAAGAGGGCTGTTTAAGGGGTCACCGAGGTTATGGCTGGATGCGTTCGTAGAAAGTTTTAACGAATATTCGGATTTTAAACGGGCTTTTATCGGTCAGTTTTGGAACGATCACCATCAGTGGCAGAATAAGACCAAAATAGAAACTAAACGTTACAAGGAGGGCGAATCATTCGTGGACTTTTTTAATTCATTCCTAATACAAGCTAAGTTTCTGGATCCACCTTACCCAGAAAAAATGCTCCTGGCGGCCATTGCCAGGACACTGCCACCTAATGTTTCGGTTTTAATCATAGACTGTAGTTTAGCTGAGGCACTTAGGCGCTTGACGCAGGCGGACGCGTATTATAATAAAAATAATGATAGATTTGATAAAAAATATGAAAATAGGGTACGGTTCCCTAATAACTTGGAAAATAAGCGGCCACCATTTCAAAAATCGTTTGATAGACCAAACAGTAGATCTGTCTCACCAGTTGCTATAAACTCATATAATTCGGGAAACGAAGCAGCCAACTAGAAGTCGGTCCACTCCTAGGCGGTAGATTTTTAAGGGCCATTAAGGTTAACAATAATCCTAAAGATGATTTACTTGAAGAATGCGACTTGGAACATTCTTTGCTGGACGACCGTTGTCCAGTAATATCGATTACCTTGTATAAACTTTCATTCCCAGCATTAGTGGACACAGGTTCGCAAGTTTGCTGTATATCGGAAGTAGTCTGGGCACAACTTGAATGAATTTTATGAAGAAATCCCATATTTTCCATGCACGGGGGTGCGTATTAAGGGGGCATTTCGCTGTAAACAGCGAAAAGTTAATTTTCAGGCAAATTTATCATTTAAAATAGGAAATATACTTTTTTGCCATGAGTTTTTAGTTATCGCGGGCCTTCTTCACCCTATTATTATAGGGGTAGATTTTTTAAGACTTATCAATGCCAAAATAGATCTCAATAAAGAATGTATTTTGGCAAATTATCAGCAGTCGGATATTTGTATCCGTGAGTTGATCCCCAATCATGACATGAAAGAACGGGAATCTTTGGAAATTAAAGCCATAAGTGCAACGCAGGTATACAGGGTGTCCCACGTAACTTATAAACATAATGATTTCGAAACGGAAGTTAATAATTGTAATGTGCTCGTTAAAGATAAAAGTTGTTTAAAGATTTGTTAGTTAGTTTTTATGATATTTTTTCGGAACGTCCGGGATTAACACATTTATACCAACATGATATAATACTTAATGATAAAAAAGAATTTTACATTAAGCCATATCCATTACCGTTGTTTCATCGGGATGTGATACAAAAAACCATTGATCAAATGGAGGGGTGGGGGGTGATTTCACGATGTGCCACTCCGTATATATCGCCGCTGATGGCGACGGTTAAGAAAGACGGTTCGGTGCGTGTTTGCCTCGACGCGCGCAAACTTAACTCGGTGACGGAAAAGGATCACGAGTTACCGCGGCCCATAGAAGAAATTATGCGTTCGCTGTCGGGTTTTCGGTACCGCACTGTATTAGACCTTAGCCATTCATACTGGCAAATACCTCTTACGCCAGAAAGTAAAAAATACACTGGGTTTATGTTTGGTACACGTACTTATGTGTTTAACGTTTTACCTTTTGGTCTCGCAAATGCTGTTTCTTCATTTACGCGTTGCATGGATGTTATATTTGGCAAAGAATTTTCTGATTTTCTAATAACTTACGTTGATGACTTACTAATTATGAGTAATACGTTCGAAGAACATCTCGAACATTTAAGTAAGGTTTTTTTGCGCCTAAAATCTGCCGGTTTTACTATTAAGCTGGAAAAATGTAATTTTTTTAGTAAGGAATTAACCTTTTTGGGGTACGTATTAAACGATGATGGGATAGCGCCGGATTCGCAACGCGTTCAAGCAATTGTTGATTACCAGCGGCCCAAAAATGTCCTTCAACTTCA